CGAGGGTAAGCACTAGCAAGGATTTTGTGCTATTTATTCTCTTGGTTTTCTTTACAGTTTGACACTCATATTAATGCTTCCCTTAACAATCTAGTATTTTGTTTTGCCTGGTTTTTATATTTATATAAAGAGAATGATCCTGAAGGTATTTTTCTGTGCCTTGTTCGTTTATTCAACATATGTTGTTGAGAGCCATCTGTGTTGATGTGCGTAGCTATAGGTCATTGGTTTTCTACATACAGTAATATATAGCTCTGTAGTAGTCCTTTGTCTGCATGTATCCCAATTTATTTATTCCTTCTCCTTTCCATGAGCATCGGAGTCGTTTCCCATTTGCTCACTCTATGAACAGTGTTACTGTGAGCATCCCGGTACAGTGTGCGCGAGTTTCTGTGCTGATGGGAATGTGGGCTGTCCACTATGCAGTGCGGAAGCCACCAGCCGTGTGTGACTATTGAGCGCCTGGAATGTGGCTAGTGCAGCTGAGGAACTGAACTTTTAATTAGTTGAAATTCAAACAGCACCGCTCTGGAACATACACATTCAGAGCGTCATTGCTGGCTCATAGGACTCTCACAGCTTCCCCTGGACTCCGTAATGCCAAGGTGTTTTCCAAAGTCGTTGTGGCTACCGACAACAAAGCCTCCCCCACGGGTATGAGAATTCATGTTGCTCATCAACACTTCGTGCTGTCATTGTCATATTTTTACATTTTTCCCAACCTGATAGGTGTGTCATTATGATTTTAACTTGCATTATCCTGAATTACTAAGAACAATGAACACCTTTTCGTGAACTTATTTGCCACTTGTATTTGCTCTTCTGTGAAACGCTTCTTCATACCTTCTGGCCTTTTTTCTATCAGGTCATCTTTTTCTTATGGACCCTGAGTTGTTTTTATTAATTTGAGTACTCGTTCTTAGTTATGCATCACAACACCCCCGCCCCGTCTGTGGCTCTTGTACTCTCTTGATGGTGCCTGTTGATGTACAGACACTCTTAATTTTAAAGTAGCCAGATTTATCGATTTTTTTCATTTATGGACTGAGTTTTGTGAATGTGGAACTGTTTTACAGAAAACCTTGAATGTGATTATGTCCATTTTACTGATGGGGACAATAAGGCCCAGACGTGCTGTGGGCGCTTCCCAGGGTCATGGGAGGGGCTGGTGGCGGTGGAGTCGGATCTAGAATCGAGGTCTGTTGATTCTTTGGCAGTGTCCTTGCCACTGCAGACAGGCTGGCTCACAACTCCTTGCTCAGGGGCACCGGACAGACCCTCCCACATCAGCAATAACTTAGGAGTGGTTGAATAACTTTTCAGGAGCAGTGGGGCACAAAGTGAATTTCTTGGCTGTTTTGAAGTAAAAGAGGAGAAAGGAAAAAAGTGACACGTACATCCTCTATGCCAGGCGCTTTGCCGGACCAACTGCATTGAGTGAATTTGCACGAGGGAGGCAGACAGAAGAGAGACAATGGCCTCCGGCTCAGGGCGACCTGGGTTCAAATCCAGGTGCAGCCCCTTACCAGCTGGATGACTTCAGGCAAATCCCTTGCCCTTTCTGATCTCCATTTCCTCACCCAGAAGAGAAGGTGAAGAAGACCTACTTCCCAGCTGTTGCTGGGGAACACCATAGGATCCCAGTAGCCTTTCATTTCCCCCCCCGCCCCCCCCCACACAGCAGTGAGGGAGTCATGATAAATAATGGAGAGAGCCTGAGCACCCAGCCAGGCTGACTTCAGTGGGAATCTTGACTCCTTTATCCCCACGTGGTCTTGGACCTGTTTCAGAACCTCTCTAATCCTCAATTTCATCTTTTGTAAAGTGGAAATAAAAATGGTGATATCACAGTGTGGGCTATGGAATCAGATGAGATAATGTCTATAATATTGCTGGCACTCAGGAGGTGCTTAATAAGTGCATTTCTTTTCCCAGATTAAATGCAATCACATACTTGCAGTAATGCCAGGTTGTCACATGATTGTTGGCATGAAGTTATTTAGGGCAGATGCCAATAAATGTCCTTTGGCTGCCAGGAACAGCCAAATTCCAGCTCCCAGCCATTCGGCTTCTTCCATCCATGCGATCCTCTCGGCCCTTCTCCAGCACTGGCCTGGACTTTCTATTTGAACATCTGCGCTTGGCATGGTCTGAGGGTTTTTTCCCGTTGACTCTTCAGCCAGGTGTCTCCTTGTCTTCTCTCCCGTCCTTACTTTCTGAGCTGTGAGTACGGTGTACATACATGGCTCTGGGGTTAGACTGCCAGGTTGGAGTCAGCTTTGCCTTTCAAGCCAAAAACACTGGACCGACAACTTCACCCCTCTCAGCCTCCTCATCTGTAAGATTGGAGCTACACCATAGGGCTGCTGCCAGTAGTAAATCAGTCAACAGTGCTGGCAGTGATCAGTAATCAGTGCTACTGTCAGCTTAGGCTGGCCCATCCCGTCTCCCAGCCCAAGCCCCATTCCAGCTCTGCCACATCCTAGCAGTGTGACCCTGGGAAAGCAGATGACCTCCTTCTACCTTGATCTCCTCATCTGTAAAGAGGGGCCAAGTGTGCTTGTTTCCCTGATGCAGCGATGAGCATGCATGTGAAAGATCTGGGCAGAAAAGATGCTCACTTCATTGAGTTCCTTCTTTCCTCCCACTTCATAAGCCGGCCTCGCAACACCGTCCTACCAACGCCCCTTATTCAGGAGCAGGTGTCTGCAGAGCCAGTTCTAGGATGATGGAATTCTAGAATTCTGGAATTCTACCTGTGTGCACAGGTAGGGGCTGGTCAGAACCTGTCTGCAGCAGGCTCCATCCCTCCATAAGGGTGGTCATCGCTGGGGAAGGAGACCTAGCGGGACTTGTCATCTGGAGGCCGAATGGGAGGAGCCTGTGCCCAGGAGGTGGACCCTCTCACCTGGCCTTCCCATACCTTCGTCCCCGGAGACTTCTGAGGGGGGAAAGTGTCCTTTACCAGGATGACTGCAATAGCCACAGGGTTCTTAACACAGTTCTGTGAAATTGTGAGAAAAATCCTGGTGCCACTCATCAAGTCTTGGGAAAGGAAGCCAAGCAGATGGCAGCTCTGCAGGTGACAGAGAAGTCCCAGACAGCATCACGTGCAGCCTGTGGTAGGGAGGGAGCCTCTCTCAGCCTTGGTTCATTCATGCATTCAAGAAACATTTGTTGAGTGCCTACTATGCGTCAAGCACTCTTTCAGTTCTGGGAACACAAGAAAAATAACAGCTTCTGCCCTCGAGTAGTTTACTTCTGTCCTTTGCTTAACAGTGTCACTCTGACCTCTCTCTTAAGAGTAATCTTAAGGGGAGAAGTAGGGAAATCAGTTGAGAAGCTATTGCAACAATCCAAGCAAGAGATGATGGTGGCTTGCACCAAAATGGTAGTAGTAGAGGTGGTGACGCACTGGGATCCAGAACATATTTCAAGGTAGAGCCAATATGATTTCTGATTGATCAGATGCGAATGTGAGAGACAAAGAGGGGCCAGGTCTGCCTCTAAGTGTGTGGTTGGCCTAAGCAGATAGAAGGATGGAGGTGCCATCAACCAAGACGGGGAAGACCAGAGCAGGAGCAGTTTTCAAGGCTCCCATTGGGATTTGATAAGTCTGATGCCTATTCAGCATGCAATGGAGATACTGAATGCCAAGTTGGATGTGTCTCATTTAATCTTCCAAACAATATGCAGTTTATATCACCATGTTAGAAATGAGGAAATTTCAATCAGTGGATTGACGTTCTGTCTCAGAATAACACCTCTGTAGTGTTGGTACAACATGTAAATAATGGAGCCAGGGTTTGAGCCCTACCTGACTGACTGTAGAGCCCACACTCTCCCTTCTCTGTACTGCTCCTGGAATCTTTGTGGACAAATGGAAAGTACACACCCTCAGAGTTAAGATGTCCCAGTTGTGGGACATTTACTACATCCAGAACTGTTCTATGTGCTTTAAAGGTCATATCCCATTTAATCCTTACAACAACCCTCTAAGTACCATTCATATCCCCATTTCACAGCTATGGAAAATGAAGCGCAAAGAGCCTCAGATTCAGTAAATGGTGGATCTGGGATGTGATCCAGAAATCAAGCTCTTAAATACTGTGTTATACTCCAAAAATAAATGTCAAATCAAAGAATAGCATGGAATTGACTGAAATCAAGATATTGCTTCTTGTGAAGTATCATTCGAAAGCAATGTCACCTTATCTTTGAATCAGTAGACACTTGTTGCATGAAAAAGTCACAGTCCTGACAGCTGGAACCCATAAAATCTTTTATTTAACAAACATTTATTGAGCAACTACATGAGCCAGGCTCTGTGTAAGGCACAGCAGCTACTGACTGAGTCACTGAGAAGCTCAAGGTCTAGTGCAGTTGGCAGGGCCATTCTAGTCCAGGCATTAGGTGTTATAATCAGGATACATAAAATAGAGTGATTGCACTCACATTTCTCTTTCCTCTAGTCTCTCTTATTTGTACAAGGCTATATCAGAGTATCAGTTAGTGAGTATCTTTTGCTTATTGGGAAAAATGGTTATTATTTGGGCCTAGTCTGTGTTCCATATTTTTCTTTTGAACTGAGGAATTTCATTTCCCTTCTGACATCATACTTTTCTCACGATTATATTGTGGGAGAGAAGGAGAACGCAGTTAACAGTAAATATGAACTGAAGATAATGTTCAGCAAGTATTACATTTTGCTTTCATGATGATTAATTTGTATATGCCTGGTTTTCAAAAGGACATAAAGACTGCCATTTCCTCATGTTTACCAGGCCTTGATGTTGATTTATTCATGTCTCATATGAGAACATCTTATGTAGACATTTATAAGGCACATTTGCCTATAGATCCAGCATCGCTCACGTGGTGTTTTATCCAGGAATATTGATATATGAATGGGGAGCTGTAAAAAAAAAAACTATCCAGAAATGGTTTTGCAGCCAGTTTTGTGATTGTCTGTTTGACATTTTTTATCTCTCTTTCCACAGAAAAGTCTGGGCACCTACTGTTTCCTGGTCTTTGCTGCGATCTGCCTCACAGGTGCTGTCTATTTCTATTTTATCCTGCCTGAGACCAAAAACAGAACCCATGCAGAAATCAGCCAGGCATTTGCCAAAAGGAACAAGGCATACCCACCAGAGGAGAAGATTGACTCAGCTGTAGCTGATGATAAGATGATTGGAAAGCCTGAACCAGACTCCTCCTCCACCCTGGACAATTATGTCAAAAATGAGATTGTCTAAATGGATGATCTCACCATTTCAGGAAACCCAAGATTTCCCTATGAGTTTAACATAATTAAGTATTTAAAAATAAACCTTTGCTAATCTAATATCACAACCATTTGGGCTTTCTTCATAGCTAAATTCCCCACACTCTTCAGGAGGCTGGGAAGAATTACACTATGTTTCAGCAGACCCAACATTCTTCTATATAGATCGCCTGCCTTCTTCATGACTTGGCCTATGGTTTCAAAATAAAATTGGAGAAATAGCATTTGAATGCTTTCTCCAGGGAGAATAATAGGGTTTGACAGAGGACTCGATGGACTGGAAATCACAGACTGAGGTTTTAGTCCCGGTTCTATCATAAGTAGCCTTGAGCTGCCCTCAACCTGGATCCTGAAGCCTCAATGGACCCTTGGCTTTGGCCTTGGATAAAGGTTTCAGAATTCAGTGGAAAGACTCTTCATACCTCCTAATAAATGCCTGTTTCCAATCTTTGGCTCTGCCTCGTGGACCTCAGGCTCAGGAGAGCCTGATACCAACCCACCACCCTCCAGGTTCTGCCTTTCCCAGGCTATGTCCCATGCAGCTCAAGACCTCCAGCCCTGAAACATCTTCACGTCAGAGTATCAGATGTGTCACAGAGGGCATAAAGAGGATCAATATGTGGAAGATCTGGAGAGGCAAATGTAAGAAATCACTTTCCAGGAGCTGGGGCAGGGACTGCAATTGAACTCTGTTCAATTGAAAAACCATACTAAGAATGAGAATATTAAGCTCTGAACCTAACCTAGACTTGGAGGGAAAAAAACATTGTGATCGATTAGTGATGTCTGCCATGGGCGCAGGAGTGAGAGTGTCACATGTGTGCCTCATGTTTGCCAATCCTGGAAGAGATTATGTGAAAGATAGTGTATTAGGGGTCTCCAGAGGAACAAAATATATATAGTTTATTATGAGGAATTGGCTCACACGATTATAGAGGCTAAGAAGTCCCATGATCTGCCATTTGCAAGCTGGAAACCCAGGAAAGCTGAAGGCCTGACAACCAGGAGAACTAGTGGTGTGAGTTCCTGTCCAGGTCCAAAAGCCTGAGAACCAAGAGCCTGATGGTGTAAATTCCAATCCCAAAGCAGAAGAAGACCAGTGTCCCAGCTCAATCAGGCAGGCTAAGAGACAAATCCTCCCTCCTCTGCCTTTCTGTTTTCTATTCAGGCCCTCCACGGATTGGACGAACCCACCCACATTGGGGAAGGCCATCTGCTTTACACAACCTACAAATTCAAATGCTATTCTTGTCCAGAAGAACTCTCACAGACACACCCCAAAATAATGTTTAACCAAATATATAGACACCCCATGGCCCAGTCAAGTTGGCATATAAAATTAAGCATCACAAGTTCACCCCTTGTCGATGTGGCACCTATACACATCTCCTTAAACATACTTAATCTCCAAATGAAGACAATAATAAGGTCATAATTCCACCTAACATGATACAACTATCCTGCCCACAACTGAAAACACACTAACCTCTTCCCCAGAAAAGGAGATAAGGTCCTTGAGTGATGTTTCTCTTCTCCTTGATATCCCATAACTTAAATACTATGACATAAAATTTAAAAACTTAAGTTTTATGATATAAAGTCAATACATCTTTTTGTTACATGATAAGGGAATAAAAAAGGAAAGAAAAAAATATTGTCATATAGACAGAGAGACAAATAGATACACAAATATATTAATAACAAAATAAGGAGGAAATACTCAAGACAATTACAGTCCTCCTTCTGTAACTGGTCATGTGGTCATAGCTGGTATTTATAACTACCTTCCTCCACTACCCACTCTGTGTTCCCTTTGCCTTCAGCAAGCACCTCAGCTGGTTGTGGTTCTTTACCTGGTCAGGTGACCCAAACCTTCATTCCTGAGGGCTCTGGGCCATTAGTAGTCCTGCCTGAATTGAGTTGTTGTAGTTTTCCATTGACTTTAATCACACACCCTAAGGGATCTCCTACATTCCAGACATACTCCCCCTTCCCTCCGTTGTGAAGTAGCAGTCCAATTTCCCCTTGGTAGTCAGGATCAATCACCCTAGCCAGCACAGTAACTCTCTTTTACTGTTTGCACCCCTTTGACCCAGTCAAGTTGACACACAAAATTAACCGTCACAGATATTGGGTTCTCCACTCAAAGTGCTCGAGCAAAAGTTGAGTGATTGCTTGTCTTGACTATTGTTAAGGAAATCTGTGTCAATTTTGGAAGAAGTTGTTAGGAGTAGATATGTTTAAGGACTCTTCCAGCCCTTACATGCTAGGGTTGTTGGGGTCAGAACAACTTGCAGCCTGCCATTATAATGCATGCCTCCTAGGTTGGGTGATTCCCTATACTTGCCTCCAGAATGAAGCAAACTCGAAGTGCCCATATGTAAATGAAAGTGCATGTGAATTAGCACTTGTGTGTTTGAATTTAGTATATCGCAGTAGGAGTGGGGCCAGAGAGGAAAGGCTCTGGACTGAGTAACACCACTGGAATCCCCTCCGTCTTTTCTAATCATTCTTGATGAAGACAGCCTTAGCCAAAGCCTGAGTTCTGATTTTCCTGTCCTACTGAATATTTTTTCATCACTGGGCTTCTCCTTTGGTTGATTGCCAATTCAATGCACCATACTATCTGGCTTTGGTTTGGCTGAAAAATTTGGACAGTGTTTGTCAATACGGAGAGAAAGTGATACGTGGGTACAAAAAGTGCCTGAGACCAAAAAAGCCAAATAAAGTGTAAAAAGAAATCTTAGCTTCTGAGTGTTTTCTTTCATTTGTAGACTTGAGTATTTAGTCACTAAATATTTATTAGGTACCTACCATGGACCAGGCATGAGGTATGCACTGAGGATACATCAGTGAGCAAGAAAATACACAGCCCTTCCTGCATTAGCTCATGCCCACCAGGGAAGATTGAACATCAAAGAAGCATTAACACTAAAATGTCACCAGCACTTGGCGGGGCTGGAAGGACACAATGATATAGGAACATGTAACAGGACCACCTAATCTGGGGTTTGGGTGAGAGGGGAGAATCAGGAAAGCCTTCCCAAATAAATGACAGAAGTGGAATGGGAAACAGCATAACTATTAGGCAATAGGCCAGGAGTTATTCTTACATGTTACTACATTTGAAAAGTTAGTAGAACAACATTAAGTAAATTTTTGAAAAATAAAATGACACCTATAATCTCATATGCTTCAATATGAGCATATCTAACACTATCATTTTAATTTTTATACATCTGTGTCCATTTCTGGCCTACTTTTATCCTGTTATAATCATAGAATACATAAAACACAGTTTACAACTATCTTGTCTCTTCTGTTTTTTCCACTTTATACTAAATCAAATGCATCATCTCAATTCCAGAGCCTTTTGTTCACACTCTAACATCCACTGCAGTGAATTCTTCATGGACAGAGTTGTTTTTCAGATACTGAAAGACGGTGGGGAGTGGTGAGTCAGAGAGACAAACATCTCCATGAGCCTTGCTACACAGGCTTTGCTGAAAGGTACTAACCATTTATAGCATCCTGTATCCATTCATGACCCTAAAGGACTCTCTACTCAAATTAATAGGCCTCCTGTCCCAGTTCCTGCCCGGGTATTAGGGACGAGGTCTTAGTCTTACTATTTTACCCATTCTTTCATCCCCAAGCCATAGAGGTTGACGTTTCCTCTTTTCATTCACTGAAAGAAAAGTAACTCTTCCAGCTTCTGGTTCTGGCTAAGATGAAATAAGCACAATCCACCCTAATTCTCCCACTGATTAGAACTGAAAACACTGGACAGAATACACGATACAAATACATGAGGACTCTGAAATGTAAATGATACCAGGCATATTGAGGAGGGAGATCAAAACTCAAAGAACAACCAACATGGCAGTGAGTTTTCTGTATTTTTTCCTCCTGTGTCTCCTGACTTATGCTCCAGGACTGACCAATTCCCCGAACTGCACAATGAGCATTGATAGAAAAAGCTCCCAGAGAAACTCCCTGATCTGGCCAGAGGGACAGAAGGGATGACCCTACCGGGAAAAGAATGCATGGGATGGGGGAGGGTCACCTTTAAAAGAGTAAAAAGCACCCCCTCCTTTTTTTTGCACTGACACAAGCCTCAGTCATGAAGCTGAACTCCTAGGGTGGTGGCAGCAGTGGTGGCCACATAGACATCTAAAAATCTAACAAAAATTCTCTCTGACGAGAGGAACTGGCACAGTGGGCCCTGGTGGACTGAAGAGTGTGAGGGAATGCCTGCTATTCTTTTCTCTCTTTTTGTCTATTGATATTCTGCCCTAGATGCAAACCCAGTTGTGAAAGTGTAACACAATGGGGAGGTGAAAGCCTTAGATTTCTAGCCAAAATACCAGAAGTGACCATTGGAAACTGGAGATTGTAGAGGAAATCACAGTGAGGAGACAGCTAAGGAAAGTGACACCCTAAATCTGTATGTGGAGTCCTGGGCTCACCCCTGAGCGCCACGTACATGAAACTGACTGGAAGCAATATAGCAAGAACGTTGAGAACTGAACTAAGTTAGACCACGACTCAGGTCCAGACTGGTCCCTGGGTGGTGCACACACAAGGTGGACCCAGTTAGCACTGCAAAGACTTTGAAAACAACTGAAATTGGAAACACAATTCACAGAATGTGGGTCATGACTTGCAGTCTGAACATAACCAGATTGATTGCCTGCTTTAAAAAAAATGCCTAGAAAGTTTTAATAGGACACAGAGCCTCATAGTATAATATTCACAATGTCCAAGCTACAATTCAAAGTTACTTGCCATGTGAAGAACTAGGAAAACCTCAACAACTCTCAAGGGAAATAACAACTAACAGATGCCAACCCCAAAATGACCCAGATATAATAGCTACTTTAAAGTAACTATTATAGTCATGCTCCATGAAGTAAAGGAAAACACTCTTGAAATGAGTGGAAAGATAGAAGTTCTCAGCAAAGAAATCAAAACTGTTTCTAAAAATTAAAACTTTAGAACCTAAAAATGCAATAACTGAAATTTAAAATTTCAGTTACATTATCGGTAGCAGAAGGGAGATGACAGAGGAAAGGA